TCTGGCACTTCCCAGTTAGCTAGCGCGCTGAAATTTTCAGGGAAGCTTTCTTTTGGATGACCATTGAATATTCAATTGTTATTATTACTAAATTGATCAATGGAAACATTTTATTGAGCATTTTAGACCGCTATATAATCTATATATATAATTCTCCTCTGCGAGCCATTAGAAAAAAACCAGCGACGCGTAGCTAGCCTCTCTCTTGCCGCGCGCAGTGAAGCGAACGATCCCACTTCGCGACAGGCTTAGGGGCAGATAATTTAGTTTTAACCGACTTTACAGGAGGTAACTATTACCACTGGTGGCCAGTTTGGGGGAGACGATATGGTCGAGTGGTTGGGCACACGATTGCTATCCCACTCGATACGGGTTCAAATCTATGTGTTCTAGTCAGTAACGTATTCACACAACGTGTTTTTTACGAGTTGTCTTTTTACGAGTTGTCTTACTAACCTCTTTTTACGAGTTGTCTTTTTACGAGTTGTCTTCGTTTACCCAAAAAAAAAGTGAAAAGATAAAATCGATAGCAAGATTTCAATGCAAACAAACAGACAAAGACTAAAAAGTAGAAAATAATAATCATTAAAAAAGTTTTAAAAAACCCACGTTTTCTGATTGAACTAAAAAGTAGAAAATAAATACTATACATCACAATAATGCAAGCGATCACTCTACTATAAGCGATCAAAAACGTGGGGCGCCGTAATTTTCTTACAGTTTCTAATACTGTTGACTCTCTACAAGCTCCCTAATAAAAGTCAATAGTATTATCTAATCAATTGTAATATAACTTTTACTTCGGCGCCCCACGTTTTTCATCGCTTATAGTAGAGTGATCGCTTGCATTATTGTGATGTATAGTATTTATTTTCTACTTTTTAGTTCAATCAGAAAACGTGGGTTTTTAAAAACTTTTTTAATGATTATTATTCTATTGCTAACAAATACTTAAATACATTATACAAATTAGGGTTAGAAGCTCACATAAATTATTTCTGACGTGAGCTAAAAATGTTGTGTCAATTAGAAGTGTTTACTAGTAAAACTATTTCTTCATCGGCAACAACTTTCATTAAAGAGCATTCTTAAGAATGGACAACTTAAAGCTAAGTAGCACTTTATTTTGCAATTGCTAAGTTTTATATAGCTAAAACGATATCAATGCCAAACCAAAGCGTTGAATTTTAGTACAACACACAATTAATTAAGGTATTTTACTATGAAACAAAAATGGTTATTATAGAAGTATCGCTGAATTAAGTACGATCACTAAATTCCTAAAACTTTAATGTTAAAAATCTACAGACAATTTACGAACGTACTTGAAAAAGTATATTAATTAATATCAAAGTGGCTTGCCAGAGTTCTTCTAAATGTATTGATAAAGTATTCCAGTTCTAGTCCTATGTTTTATAAAGTCAAGATGGGGTGTTTGAAAACGTAATATGTAATTTGAGGTTGGCTAACGTTAACACGGTTGATCAGTAGTTTTTAAACTATGTGTTGCTCCACCTCTCTTGCAAAACACGAATTCTTGATACTTACCCATCACTCATCCCATAAATTGCTTTAATGTTTTACTAAGACTTTCCCAAATATGACAAATGCCCGAATGGACACTTGCATGAATAAGACAATTTCCCTAAAGTCACTAGTCCGACATGTACGATATGGGTACAGGTTCAAGTCAGTAGACCGTCCCTGAGTATACCCAACTCTGATGGGTACCTAACTCACGTTAGGGAAAGTAATGGCGGCTGGGCATAATGCTGACCACACTATCTCTTCATATGCCGAGGTCACAGAAACAAGTGCACTCTACTTCACTTGCCCTATAGACCGTCAGGTTTGAAAAAGGGAACTTTTACTAGTCCAACGGCAGAACAAGTTTCTTTCGAGATAACGTATTTCTCCCTTATTTAACAACAATGTCCCTAGATATTGACGGGGAGCTCCATATCATCCAACCGAGGAGCGCCGGCTGTTATTTTCTCACTGTTGAATCAACCTGTTCCGAATCCTTTGTGTAGCACACAATATCAACGGAAAAAGACGCTGGGGTTTTCCCCACGAGCATACTTAAATTCAAGGCGATCAAATAAAAGACAATCAAACAAAATAATCCAAGACACATTTTCATAAAGATATTTATAAATATATATATATATATATATATATATATATATATATATATATATATATATATATATATATATATATAATTATATGTATATATATATATATATATATATATATATATATATATATATATATATATATATATATATATATATATATATATATATATATATATATATATATATATATATACTAGCTGCATCCCGTGCTCCGCCACGGTAAATCTTTTTTAAATGTACCAAGTTGGGAACATAACAAAACTAAACACAACACAATCGAACGCAAAAAAAAACACAAATTAAAAAACAAACACAACACTCATAACCTAAACACAATTTAAATGCAATCATAAAGGCATATTGCTCACAGTCTAGCCCGTAGGGCCAAATTGCGCCCTTTCCGAGCGCCCGCACGCGTCTGACACAGTGAATGACTACAAAACAGAAGCGTAGCGACCCTTTCCGGCGCCCGGGGACAAACTTTCGATTTGATCCCCCCTCAAACTTACGATTTGCACCTCCTTCACTCAAAATTTAAATTTCCACCCCCCCGCCCTTAAAATTTCGATTTGCCCCCCCCCCCCACTCAGACTTTTGATTTGCAACCCCCCCCCCCCCGCCCTAAAACTTTCGATTTCCACCCCCCCCCCTCGCAAATGTTTTCCAACCCACTTTAGCGCCACCTAAGCTCGGCATCCGCGGACGTATGCCCCCCCTCGCAACGCCTCTCCTATAAAACCCCCAGCTTGTCCGCAAACCGAAATATAGTATAAATAATAGGCAGTATTTAAAATATCCGTGTTTTACCTACCATATATCACTTTATCAATTCACGCATTAAATTTTAAACATTTACAATAGAGTTTCATAACTAAAACCATTGCGCACCTAATGAACGTGATGACGCGTCTATAATAGTGCGAAATAGTTGATTAATAATTATAAGTAGTAAACAGTACATTCAGTGAATAAAATAAATAAAAGCTTGCCTTTTATCAATCCACTAGGCATGCTGCCCAGCTTCGCTTAGGCTTTCGAAAACATTGAGAATTTGAATGCTTAATTAATTCGCCCGAGTGTCGGTCTACGACCTCAAGAGTTATGAAGAGGTTCCTCCGTGGACATTTTTAAAAAATTTATAGCTCATATAAGGTACCGGTCAGTCGAGGTCAGTTTTGACCCCCTCATCGTAGACTTTTCGCCCGTGTTCTGTCGCCCCAAGGCAAGGTCCTGCCAAATTTGAAGCGCCTGCGGCGCCGGGAAGTGCCCTATCGGACACCCGACAATCTAGATCTAGATTCCTAGAAGAATTTTTTTTTTTAAGTTTAGCCCGAGCATAATTAAAAAATAATACATACCAAGTTGACTTGGTGTGTCTCGAACCCGCACCACCTGCGTGGTTTACTGTACACTAACATCTCCGCTATTGAGGCACCTTATAATATACGGAGAATGAAACACGTATTTTAAAATCTTAACTTACGCGAATATGCCTATTCTTTCAAATTAATTTTTTTATCCCAAATTAGCCAGTTCCAAACAAAGATTTTGTATAAAATAAATAAGTCTTGAAATAGTTTAGTCCTAAAATAGAAATTTATTTTTGGAATTGATTTTAGAGAAGTTAGAGTCTAAATCTAGATCTTAGCGTCTACGTCTAGATCTAGTTATTGCGTAGATTTAGATTTAGATTTAGTCTAGATCTAGAATCTCTAGATCTAGAATCCAAATACATAAAATGAATTTTAGGAGTTTAGGCCGGAAAAATTGTATTGTATACATTTCATAGTGTACGTAGATCTAAATCAAATTTGAATGAAATAGTTCATTTCTTTTTATTCTAAACACGGCAGATGGCGTCATTAGTTAATGTATAAGCAATAGTGACGTCACAGTTTTATGCGTTCTTTTTCACATATATTAATGCTTTTCCGGTTGCATAAATAATACTGTTTCTCTACATTCGAATACGCCTTTAATTTTTATTTTTCTTCTTTAAATAAAATTGTGGTTATACATTTAAAACATCTAACATATTATTTTCAACAAAAGTCCGTATAAAGTTCTCCATATATCGCTGCCGTTTCTGACGTGATGTCCGGCGAAAATATTTTGCGGACAGACAGAGAGAGAGAGAGAGGTGCGAACGTGGGGTTTTATAGATTTAGATGATAATTATAATTTTCTAACAATAATTTGCTCTTACATATCCGCATAATTTGCATTCACATTTTGCTAATTATATTATTGCAACACTAATTCCTTTTATGACATCTGTATATTTGCATTCACATTTTTGTTTATTAGCGTGAGTTTAATTTTTTTTTTAAATTACCTCCCTTGTCAAAATTAGAAAAAAAGAGTAATATAATTTGATTTTCTACCTTACTGTTATTATGTTTTTAAAATGTATCTACTTTTTCGAGGAATATAAACGAAATGATATTTGACATTGATTCTTTTAATATGTTTTAACAGTGTGCGTGTATTTAATATTTTCTTTACGTTATGGAAAAGATTAAAAACAGTGGCAATTATAAAATAGCTTTATGTTGTTATATAAACAAACCCTACTCCATAATTTATAATAAAACGCTGCGATGCACTGAAAAGGAGTGCATCGTGCCATGTTTCTGGTTTCTCTTCACATCGAGTAAACCTTTCGCCTTTTATTTAAGATCGATAACCTATCCGCACCATCCAATGATGTCATCTCCTCGCACGATGACTTACGCAATTATAATCACCGCCAGCAAAGAGACTTGGGGAAGAGCCACCCGGACTACGGTTCGGGTTGCTTAATGAAATCCTGGGCCCAACCCTTTTCAGCAAACTCAACTACGTACCTGAATCTACCCGATGAAGATTGCCCAGAACTGTACCCAGTCGACACACCAACTATCCAAGTTCGAATCTCCTCAAAAGGACACCCCAACCTACGCGGACATGTCTTACGACAACTCATTAGTAATGAACAAATCCTGCTCCTCAACTACGGCAGAGCAGACACTTGGTTTTTCTCCCCAACAGCATTCGATGTCACCACGATGCACAATACACACAAAATACACGGCCCTTACACACTACACTTCACACTACACGAAAAAGATAGAATCAACGAAACCCTTAGGTGGGTACCCCCACACTCAACGATCTCACACTCATACAAGCACTACAGCCTTACAGCAACAAAGAACCAACCATAACCACAATTCCTCACACCAGTAACCGCATCTTCTCCATACACACTGACAACCCAACAAACACCCCTCATTACATTCAAATAAATTACAAAAACAAATCCCTCAACATCCTAGTAGCAATCAACGGAAGGAAACAAGCTTGCCAGACTTGCTCTTCAACCTCGTATTGGACCAACCACTGTCCAACATCTAATGTAAAACTGACAACATCACTGGCACCAGCCGCACCTGCACAGCAGCAATTAACAAAACCTCCTAAATCTACGATCCTGCAAGCCACCCTCACTACGACTGCACCGACTTCACCAACCAAAGAGCCCAAAACTCAATTCAAGAAACCAACTAGTCCAGCTAAACCGCAAAGCAAACCAACAACCCCTAGTTCAAGCACAGCGAAAACACCAACCGTTAAACCATCTGAATCAACAACCCCCAAATCGAACCCTCCTTCACCATCCACGCTAAACCCAGCCAAGTTCACGTTTACAGCGAAGCCAACCCTTGTATATAGACATAGCAGAGATACAGAAATGCCCGAGTACACAAGTCCAAAAAGGAAAAAGGAACACAGTCCGACAGACACAAAGCAATCAAAAAGCCAAAAAACAACAAAGCGGGTACATGACAACAAACTCTGCAGGTTTTACACCCAGCGATGCAAATCAGTTGAGGAAGCTAAAATACACGAACGCCATGAACATGGGGATTTCTTACTTTGTGAAATTTGTATTGACAAGATTCCGCACACATATTGGACTTGGTACCTAGACATATACGGGCACTATATAAAAAACCATCCTGTAGTAACGATGTACTCCTGTCACTCTTGCAACCTCTGCCTCCCTTTAGAAAGTATAAAGGCTCACACGGAAAGCCACCACCCGCCACCCAAATAATACGCTTCGAATGAACATTGTTTTAATTATAGCAAACTTAGACGTCTTTTATAAGAAAAATAAAAAATTGTATGACATGTCTAAAATATGATCTCGGAATATGCCAGGTATGTATATTTTAAACATGCAACCCTTTTCACACAGCTAACTCCTGGCTCGACAGGAGTGAACTGTGTGTAAGGAAATATATTAAACTTAAAAAAAAAAAGCATGGTGCCATGTTTACCTTTATGGTTCCAAAATCTATAGCGATGACGGAAGGAAGAACTGACACAGTACCTAGCCGCTTATATTATAGATATATATATTTAACCATACATACATGCATGCATATATATATATATATATATATATATATATATATATATATATATATATATATATATATATATAAATATATAAATACATACATATCTATAAATATATAGATTTCAGGAAGTATACATAGATCTAAATGACTAGAAATTCTAATTACAAACATTAATTAAAAACTAATTTTCATCAATACTTACTGGATAGTGGAATACCATGTGAATGGAATATTAAAAAAAAATACAAAAGTTATATTCCCTTAGTTATTGTAATAGCTGATGCCAATCATATTCATGTTCAGCAGTTTAACATGTCTTGTTTAACTGAACGACTCACAGTTTTTGAGGAAATGGGCCGGTAGTTGAAAAATTCAAATCGGGATTCCCCGTTTGGTAACCTTCGGAATTTCCTACAAGTTATTTTTCTTGAACACATTATTCGCGATTTTCTTTTCCATTCATTTTAACCCTTCCTTTTTGTTCATGCTATTTAATAAAACCCCAAATGTAATAAATACACAACTAAAGCTACTTAACGAAGTAACGTACGGCTTTTGCACTCACAATACCATATAGTGGATTTAACATTTTAGCATCTTTTTTGTACATCTTATTGCGAGGGCTATATTATTATAGTTGTATTCGCTGGCCTATATATATATATATATATATATATATATATATATATATATATATATATATATATATATATATATATATAAACAATAAGTTTCTTTACTTTGCCAATCTTTAATTATTTTAAATATTTAAGTCCTGGATCTATTATAATATCATCATCATTTCTCGTTCGTGCCCAAGACACATGTGGCAGATGAAGTGGAGTTCATCTGCTTCATAGACAACGGCATATGAAGAGCTATTGTGTTCAGCTATATGCCCAGACGCCTTTGTTTCTGTAAAGGAAGTTATGTACCCATTAGTGATGGGTGGATTCAGGGACATTCTACTGATTCGAACTCGAGACTCTAGGGTTAGCAATATAGCTCTCTACCCGCTAGGCCAAGCAGTCCCCTCTATTACAAGTTTCAATCTAAAAGGAAAACTTGGGCATGTTCTTTTTTCTGTATATTAAACTAAACTTAAGTTTAATATAGCTAAAATATTTACAATAGTCGAATGTGAAACGAATTTTTAAATTCTAGAGCCAAGTTCTGCTGTAATCACTACCCATCCTAGGCAAAAAAAAAACTATCTTTTGTTGAATGTTAGGGTCTAAATCTCAGGGGTTAGGAGCTAGAGGTAAGATCAACATTTATGGTTTAACAAAACATTCAGGTGTTCTCTATTTTTGTCGTTTGAATAGTGTGCTGTGTTAGTTGTGCACAGTTCGGCAACTAGAAGCTCTAACATAGAGATCAGTCAAGCGTGTCTGCTTTTTAACGATGAATGTATACATCAGGGCAACCTCATGTGTTTTTTTTTTTAAATAGAACTAGGTTTGTTAATTAATATCAGCTACAGTAAGCTCCACACTTAAACTTCAACGTCCACAGAGAAAAGACAAATTCATATTTATTATCAAAATCACAACCACACCCACACTGACATCCATATTTACATTCACATTCGCAACCAATTCCACATCGACACCCATATCGATATTCTCATCCATATTCACATCCGCATCCATCTCAACATCTACATTTACACCCTTACAGCGTCTACATCTACATCTACATCAACAATCATAACCACATCAAATTCAGATCCAGATGCGCATCCAAATCTACAAGGTCTAGGTCTAGGTCTAGGTCTAGGTCTAGGTCTAGGTCTAGGTCTAGGTCTAGGTCTAGGTCTAGGTCTAGGTCTAGGTCTAGGTCTAGGTCTAGGTCTAGGTCTAGGTCTAGGTCTAGGTCTAGGTCTAGGTCTAGGTCTAGGTCTAGGTCTAGGTCTAGGTCTAGGTCTAGGTCTAGGTCTAGGTCTAGGTCTAGGTCTAGGTCTAGGTCTAGGTCTAGGTCTAGGTCTAGGTCTAGGTCTAGGTCTAGGTCTAGGTCTAGGTCTAGGTCTAGGTCTAGGTCTAGGTCTAGGTCTAGGTCTAGGTCTAGGTCTAGGTCTAGGTCTAGGTCTAGGTCTAGGTCTAGGTCTAGGTCTAGGTCTAGGTCTAGGTCTAGGTCTAGGTCTAGGTCTAGGTCTAGGTCTAGGTCTAGGTCTAGGTCTAGGTCTAGGTCTAGGTCTAGGTCTAGGTCTAGGTCTAGGTCTAGGTCTAGGTCTAGGTCTAGGTCTAGGTCTAGGTCTAGGTCTAGGTCTAGGTCTAGGTCTAGGTCTAGGTCTAGGTCTAGGTCTAGGTCTAGGTCTAGGTCTAGGTCTAGGTCTAGGTCTAGGTCTAGGTCTAGGTCTAGGTCTAGGTCTAGGTCTAGGTCTAGGTCTAGGTCTAGGTCTAGGTCTAGGTCTAGGTCTAGGTCTAGGTCTAGGTCTAGGTCTAGGTCTAGGTCTAGGTGTCTAGGTGTAGACGTTACGTTGTCGAATTGTTTAGTTTTCTAATTGTCTATGTGTCTAGGTGTCTGTCAGTAAAGAGTCTAGTTTCTAAGTGTAGATGTCTAGGCGTCGAGGTGTCTAGATTATGTCTGGGTCAGGGTCTGTGTCTAGGTCTAGTTTTTTAATTTAATGTTTACAGAATTGTGTATTTACTTTATTTTGAAATTTGTACGCTGACAACAACTTACAATAATTATACTTTCAGATTGTTTACAGTTTTAACGATGGGTCCCTTAATGCCTTCTTTATCCAAACTATGTAACTGTTCTACTTCAAAATTGTGTTTAGTATGGGAATTCTATTTAACCTATTCAGAAGACTTGCAATTTATTGCCTTATGTTTAGGCTATGTGGTACCTGCATTGGCAATACCCATTAATATTTTCCTCAGATATAAAATTAAAGTTGATGTAGTATTAGAATTATGTAACATATATTCAGAATTTATGAAACCAACGTCGTGGAGAGAATTTGCAAACGCCAAAACTCTTACTAGTTTTTGGAGCCTAGCACAGACAGCAATAGAAAATAAAATACTTAAAAAAAACTTTTTAAAAAACCACGTTTTTCTTGTGGACTAAAAAGTAGAAAATAAATTTTTCTTTTGTGCTTCCTCGAGCTGTGCAGGTTCTTGTGATGACTGACAAAAAACGTGGGTACGTTCACCATCAAATTTCCCGACCCATCTGCCCGACCCACGTTTTTTGTCAGTCATCACAAGAACCTGCACAGCTCGAGGAAGCACAAAAGAAAAATTTATTTTCTACTTTTTAGTCCACAAGAAAAACGTGGTTTTTTAAAAAGTTTTTTTTAAGTATTTTATTTTCTCCTTTTTAGTCCGTTGCTACACATGAAAAACGTGTTTTTTAAAAAAGTTGTTTATATAGTTTATTTTCTACTTTATCTAATGACTTGATTAAGTATGACTTGACTAAGTGTTTATAAATACACGGACTAAAAAAATCTTGAGCGACCAGGATTCGAACCTGGGTTGTCGCGGCCACAACGCGAAGTACTAACCACTATACGATCACGGCCAGCGCGCTCACATCGATTGGGGCCGAAGTAACTGTGTCTATAAGCCTCCAGTCTTGTCGGTATCTTTAGAAATCATGTCCTCAATTTTATGGTCCTTGGGGCGTAATTAAATTAAGCTAATTACGGTCTCTAATTGCTAGTTTTTATGATTGCATCTGAAATTGTTAGGCGAAAGTAGCCTGTATGCCAAATTTCAGATCTGTAGAGCAATCAGAAGTGGGCTAATTTTCGATGTCAATTTTAACAACAAACAAACAAATCCACAAACGCGAAGCTGAGTTAAGAAAAACGTGTTAAAAAAGAAATTACTTCTGTTAAAGTACGCGCAGCCCTGCAAATCAGTAAAACTGCAATTAATATTTTAATACTGGGTTTAAATCTGGTAAATTACAGTAATCGAGATTCATTTTCAAGATGGGATTACAGATTCATTATTTACGGAGCTTATAATGTGTGTAACGATGTAAAACAGTCGAAAAAACAGGTGTCTAATTTATATAATGCCCAACACAATACAAGAATAACAGAAAATTATCAAACCTCTCTGCTGAAACTAAGAATGAGCAAAAGATAAACACGACTGAAAATCTAGATGTCATCGAGAATAAATCAAAACAAACGAAAGAAAGCAAACACGGAAATAGTGAAACTTTACAAAGTACCCCGCTAATGGATGTTGTAGAAACTACCCAATATAAAAACCTAGACAAAACAATATCTTCGGAGACACAACAGAAAATAGAAAGCACATCTTCACTACAAAACATGAAGCCTGATGTAAAACATTCGAAACAAAAGCTCTCTAATATGTATAATGCCCAACACAATACAGGAATAACAGAAAATTCTCAAACATCTTTTGCTGAAACTAAGAATGAGCAAAAAATAAACACAGCTGAAAAACTCAATGACATCACGAATAAATCAAAAGAAAGCAAACACGGAAATAGTGAAACTTTACAAAGTACCCCGCTAATGGATGTTGTAGAAAGTACTCAATATAAAAACCTAGACAAAACAATATCTTCGGAGACACAACATAAAATAAAAAGCACATTTTCACTACAAAACATGAAGCCTGATGTAAAATATTTTAAAATAAGTGGAACTCATACACCTTTTTCTAAACTTAAGAAATTTCGCTTTTTTGAAAAT